CCTTACATGCTGTACTGATTGTTTCATAGTAATTCTATGACTTAAAATCATGTATCTTCTAGATTTATAGGCTCTGATGAAGGAAGAGTACACATTTGGCTTTTTAAACAAAGCTTAATTAGTTGAATATGTAAACTAAATTTACAGAAATCACTGATTCATTTCATTCAACTGTGTCAAGGAAAGTTTGTTGCAGAATGAAAGGCATATACAACATTAACATAAGCAGAATTTATTAAATTATGATTGTTGAAGCTCAAAATTTCCTGTAGAGGAAACAAACATTTTATAAAATTATCTACAAAATATTATTCAAATATTTTGCAGAAATCATGATAGGGTTGAATTGTATGTTTTGCTAACATTAATTTAAGCTCTAACACTGAAAAATAAAATACCTAGACTGTAAAGTGTAACACTTTTTCTTTTTGCTGCCTTGACATACAATATATTCTGCTTATTTCTAAAGTCAAGAAGAAGAAAGTGAAGATGAAGAAGATACTCAAAGTTCTAAATCTGAAGAACATCATCTGTACTCTAATCCAATCAAAGAAGAAATGACTGAGTCCAAGTTCTCTAAGTACTCTGAAATGAGTGAGGAAAAACGAGCCAAACTTCGTGAAATCGAGGTTAGTATTGTGATGAAATTTAAACTACACTTCACTGGCCTTTCACTTTCTCCACCCAGCTAAGCTCCCTCTTGGCATCATACCTTGGTGCACATGCTGTTCTCTCTGTTTTGAAATCTTCATACCAAGGTGACTTTTTTAGGCCTCTTACTTCAAGCATTCCTTCTCTCACAGTAGCCCCTTCTTACTCTTTTGGACCTGTTTGCTTCACTCTTTTTATGTGATTTTATAGGTATTGTGATGTGTGTATATCTATGTATGTTTTGTTTATTTGCTTATTTGTTTAATGTCTGTTTTACCCTCTAGACTGCAGTTTCCATGAGGAGGGAGGACCATGTTTGATTTCTGTTCATTGTATTGTTAGTACATAGGAGATCCTCTGAAGAAATGGATTCTAATGAACATTATGTATATAAAAATGAATATGCGTATAATATGTCTGTGTAACGCAGGATATCTATTACATGTAATCCTAGTTACGTACTGTGTACATTTGAGTGTATATAGTATATAACTAGGAAAGCAAAGTATTTTCTTTTATAATCCTAGCACTTTTGGAGGCTGAGGTGGTGGTGGGGCTCACTTAAAGCCAGGAGTTTGAGACCAGCCTAGGCAACATAGTGAAACTGTGCATCTCCACAAAATAAAATTAAATAATTAGCGGGATGTGGTGGAGTGTGCCTGTAGTATCAGTGACTTGGGAGTCTGAGGTGGGAGTATCTCTTGAGCCCAGGAGTTTGAGGCTGCAGTGAACTGTGATTGCACCATTCTTCTCTAGCCTAGACAACAGAGCAAGACCCATCTCTTAAAAAGCATTCTGGCATATTCAAGTTATGTTTACATTTTATTATAGTAGGCCCATTTTATTTATTGATTTTTTT